CCTCATGGCCTCTCCCCTGTTCTTAGCACTTTTTCTGTGCTTAGATCTAGCCTTTTACTTGATTGAGAAATTGAAGGGGGAATTGTGGAAAGTTGGCTCTTTCAGTTCCTGCTTGCAAACCCCTCCCCCTTCCAATTTCTTTTCTAGATCAAGCCCCAGATGAGGGCAACCAGAGGCCCTCGAGTTCTCTGGGGCTCTCCAGGGAAGAGAGTAGCATGGAGCCTCATGCCCCTCGGGCTGGGGTGAGAGGCGAGCACCCGGTGATGAGGGGAGAGGATGACTCTGCAAGACCTGGATGAAGGGGGTTCCTTGAAACTACTCATCAAAACCTGGGAATCCCCTTAGAAATGCCCCCCTCACCTTGCTGAGGACGGTGCTGGGAGGACCTCCCCCTTCTACTAACGGCAGGGACCCTGTGGGGACACAGGGGAGACTCAGAGGCACCCAGCTGGGAGGGGGCTGCTCTACCAAACACTCTACCTCCTGTTGCAACCATGAAAAAACATGGCAGGAAGAGTGTAAAGCACATCGGGTATTCTGCCAGCAATGCCATGGAGTCAGTCTATGGGCAGGGTTATAGGCGTGCTGTGGAGATTGTAACAGGGAGGTAGAAAAAGTTGACTCCTGGCGGTATTTTATAGTTTAAAAAAACTCATGCATTTATGTCATGGTTTAAGGCCATTTACCACAGAGCAGAAAATAGTTCAGATGCTTAACTTGAAAAATACATTTGAAAAGCAAAAGAATAGCTAAAGATACCCAAGTGGTCAATAAGCGTATAAGGTGGTGTTCCATCTCGTTAGTAATTAGGGAAATGTAAATTAAAACAGAATGGCTAAAATTTACAAAAGACAGTATGAAGTATTGGTGAGGCATACGCTGCGGTTAGGAGTCCAAATCAGTAGACTCATTAAGAGCTGTTTGGCGCGACAGCCTACAGTTGAACCTGTGCAGTCCTAATACCTGTCAAATCTACTCCAGTTATATTCCCGAGAGAAATGTATCACCTGTGATAAGCGACATGGTCGCAGCAGTATTTGCAATAACCCCAAACTGGAAACAACGTGAGCCTCCATTAATAACAAAATGGAATGTGCATTAGTTTCAGGCAATGGAATACTCTTTGGCAATAAAAATAATAAGCCAACCACAGCTATATGCAACGGGATGGTTGAATCTTGTCAGTATAACGCCAGCCACGTAGTTAAATAGAAAAAAGTGTATTTTCTTTTTATGGAAAGTTTTAAAACATACAAATTAATCCACGGCTACAGAAGTTAGGAGAGTGGTTACCTTTGGGGAACAGGGGAGAGCTACTTATTCGGAAGGGCATGTGAGTGGGTGCTGGTGATGCTGTATTCTAGGTGTCAGAGGTCTTCTGTTTCTTCTATTTCTTGACCAGGATGATGGTTCATGGGTACGTTTGTTTGCAGCTTATGATGTACACTTACGATGTGTGGACTTCTCTGGAGATATGTTATACTTGATAAAAAAAAAAAAAAAGCTAAGAGAAAAAGTATAAGCACATGACATAGATGGGTATGTTTAAACTATTGCCTAGCTCCCGCTGCTGATGTGATCTTTTCAGTCCAAGTCCCTGAGAGGCCCAGGTGAAGGACACTTGGTCTCCGAGAGACCAGGGATGAGGGGTACCTGATTCCTGAGAGGATCAGGTGAGGGATAGCTGGTCACCAAGAGCCTGGGGTTAAGGGATACCTGGTCCCGAGAGGCCCAGGTGAGGCAGAGCGAGGTGGAGAAAAGCCCAAGACCCACTAGTACCAGCTGGGCGTTTTGAAGGCGGTAGCTAGCCATGTGGGCGCTGACCCTGGCAGGGCTGAAGCATCCGTGCGTATTACCGTGTTAGCGTAGTCCCACCCCTACTGAGCTTGGAAGAGGAGAGCTTATGCTCACACTATCAGCTGGGATTTCAACCTAGGCAGGCTGGCCCCAGAGGTCACAGGTTATCACCTCCCAGGAGGAACCAGATCAGGACTCAGGCTGGGAGGTGGAGCTGGGGAGCCCCCGTGCCAGGACAGGTACAGAGTGGAGCAGCACCGCCCTCTGCAGTCTGTGCGGATCAACTCTGTAAAAGGCGCACAGAGTTTCCCAGAGACCCTCTCAGAGAGCTACAGCTTCCAGTTCATCTTACCCTACACTCTAGCCCATCAACTCGAAGTCCTCGTCCTGGGCTACTCCCACCCCTTCCGCGGTTATGGGGCCCAGAGCACCTGTGCTGGACGCACGCTGAGTGCCACAGCCAGGGCACAGTTATCTGCGTTTACAAGAGCATCCCACTAGCTATCTACCTTACATTTGATAGCTAGTGGGAAGCAGCCGCATAGCACGGGAGATCAGCTCGGTGCTTTGTGACCGCCTGGAGGGGTGGGATAGGGAGGGTGGGAGGGAGGGAGATGCAAGAGGGAAGAGATATGGGGACATATGTATATGTATAACTGATCCACTTTGTTATAAAGCAGAAACTAACACCTCATTGTAAAGCAATTATACTCTAATAAAGGTGTTAAATAAATAAATAAATAATAAATAGATAGATAAATAAATAAATAAAAGAGCATCCCAGGGACCTCTTAGGCAAATGCCCCTCAGCATTTAGATAGGAAAGTTTTGAAAACGAAAGCCTTTAAGAGATAAAGGTGATGACAGTATTTCAGACTGAAGGCTGGACAGCCTGGGGGATATCTGGGGACACAGGGAGACCTACCCAGCACCCCTCGAGCCACAGGAGTCACGTTTTGTGCACAGCCGCCCTTGCTGTGCACACAATGTGACCTTACTGTTAAGGTCAGCCTGAGAGAGGTCCTTGCATCGTTTGATGTTCCGGGCAGGAGCTGGCAGCCCCTCGTGCACCCAAGGGGAACGAACCATCTTGTCCCATGGTCTTTCCCTTCTCTCCTCCCGTCCTGTTTCCCAGTCCCTCTCCTCTGTTCCTTCCCTCCCTAAACATTTGTGGTGCATCCACCAGGCCCTCAATTCACCACCCTCGGAAGAGGCCCCAGATGGTGAAGTAAAGGGCCAGACGTTTGTCTGTTAGCCACCCTGAGCGTCTGAGCTCGGTCTGCACAGCTACCCCAAGTAGAAATGAAAAGGCTTCCCGGGAAGAACTACGCTTGATTTGAAAAAGAGTGTATATTCATTTGACTGTATTTTCTCATACATATTGGATGAGATATATATGTACACATATTGTTTTACTGTAACGTAATAATTGGATTATTATCTTAAAGGGAAGGAACCAGTCATTCTACTTTTACTGTCTCTGGGATGCAGGCTGGATTTCTGTTTCTCAGATTTGGGTATCCTTAGTTTTAAGGGAGAGAATTTTTTTTGTTTTTTAACATCTTTATTGGAGTATAATTGCTTTACAATGGTGGGTTAGTTTCTGCTTTATAACAAAGTGAATCAGCTATTACATATACTTACATCCCCATATCTCCTCCCTCTTGTGTCTCCAAGGGAGAGAATTAAGTGACTTTTTTTCCCTCAAAGGACTAGCCCCTTGTCTCTCAAACCTGCCCTGCAGATGGGTTTTGTTTGGGCCACGCTGGTTTAAATGGAATCAATAGGCCGAAATTAAGAACTTGAGATATTATCATGAAAATTGAGGTTTCAGATTTCTTTGGAAAAGTACTGGGCTGGCATTTCCAAGGGAAAGCAGCTTTCCCCTTACGCAAGTATAAGTTTGTTTTCTAAATGAGAGACTTCATTTCTTACTGCTCCGGACACGGGTTTCCACACACCTGCTGCTGTTTACAAGCTCCTTCCCAACCTGCTTCAAACGCTTACATTATCTGCATCTCTAGTTCAAAAGAAGGAGGGCTCTGGCCTGGAACTTAGTTTGTCAAAGATCACGGAGATAGCTGCTGGTGGGGGTCAGTGAGTGGCAGGGGGCCG